GATTCGTAGCTATTGTGTGAACATCACCATTTGTATTCAACGTACTATCTCAACTGTTGCATACCGCTGTTGACGGCTTCACGTATTGTGTAAAGATTCTGCAGATTATCAATTTCAGAACGTGGGTTGTGGGTGAGTGCTCTGGTGTCGTTTCTTTGCCCCCGCCTTTACCAGCGTGGCAATAATTCAATGTCGTCCTTGTCTCTCCATTTTCTTTTTACTTTACTTTGTGCGTTACTCTCAACAGTATTAACTCCTCCGACTTCGGCACGTATATGACCTATTTATGTTTGTTTTAAGTGCCGTAAAACTCTTACTAAAAACTGAAGAAAAAGAAAGTAGGCTAAAAGTACAAATGGTACTGTTTTCTTGCGTGACAAAGCGTGAGGTCACTCACTCGAGACCCGAGAGCTTTCCTTCCGGTACTTAGTACTTACTCCGTGCGTGGGGTCAGATGACCTGACTTTAGTCTTAGTCAGCAGGGGAAAAAAATAGATACGTGCTGAAGAAAACATGTGCTCGGAAACAGTTTCAGTACATCACGGGTCTTTTCAGTTCCTATAGTATTTCATTCGCTGTGTATGAATTTTTGGATTCTTTGCGATTTTTAAAATTGTTGTGTGTTTGTTTTTTTTCTTTTTTTTTTCTTCAAATCAGACTTTTACTTAAACGAAAAAGAAAAAAAAACCTGCTCTTTTGTTCGTGTTAATTATCTTCTTCAACAAGACTTTTATTTGTTGTTACTGTGACGATGTGAAAGCAGCGTTGTCGGTAGTCTAGTGGTCAGTCAAGGTTCGAAGCTCAGCTCGATCCGACGTTGTGTCCTTGGGAAAGGCTTTTCACTCAAATTTTCCCATTTTGCTCTGTCCTGTTGGAGCGAGAGGGATATTAAATTCGAAGGTCATGCCTTTTAATTAACGTTACAGTGTTGCAACGACTGTTGCAAATCTACACCATTTTAATTTTCGATGTACAAACTATGTTGTTGGTTCCGTACCTTGCCTTGTTCAGTGTGCCATCAGTCCAGTGGGTGATTGGTCAAAGCTCAAATGTGGTCCGCAAGATCTAATTCCTTTTTTTAAATGGGTTATTTTAACAAGTGTCTCGGTTCTTCTTCTGGGATGCTGTGTCCCACTCTTCCTGAGTTGAAGCAGCCCGTCTTCTATCTAAACAACCTAGATTACAGGTACGTCTTTCGCGTTCGTAAAACATTAACAATCAAACCACGAAACTCGGCTCAGCCGTGTCTTAGTGTTGATGCTTTTCGTAGAATCCATGAAAATCCTGCGAAATCTTAATGTTTAAAATATTGTATTAATGGGTTTTTTCCCCATCCCCGACTGTCTGCCCCAATATTGTTCGCCTCCCACAGACCGAAGCTGACTATACGTCTTGGCATATTTTCACCATTTGCATTCTCTGTGATGTAATCCCTCGAATTTTATATCTCTTTTGTCTCTCTGTTTTCCCTCGCGAAAAGTTTTCCATTGCGTCTGTAGGCGTACTGTTTGGTGTACATCGTATAATTTGAGGTCTGTCTTTAGGGAAACAAAACTCATTTAGATGGTATGTTTATAGTAGACATATTTTATATTTTCGCACCAACAAAGGCACACAGGCGCAGTCAGGGACGTTTACTTGTGGAGGTCCCTGCACATATTTTTTCACATATTTACGAACACATTTACACACACTCATCCCCCCCCCACACACACACAAACACAAAGACACACGCACGCACATACACACATACATACATACGTACACACTGCTCGCGGACATAGGTATAAACGTTTACACGAAGGAACGCAT